GAGGCAGGAGACTCGCTTGAGCCCAGGAGTTGGAGGTTGCTGTGAGCTGTGATGTCACGGCACACTACCCAAGGGGACAGCTTGAGGCTCTGTCTCACAAAACAACAACAACAACAACAACTCTGTCTCAAACAAAACAAAACAAATTTTCCAGTTCTTGCAGCAGTTATTTCTCCTTGTAAATTAATAATCCAGCCTCTGGTTTTATATATCAGTTTCATAAGCTTTATTAATATGAGTGTGCCCTGAGACATGGATCTGCTGTCAGGGTGCTAATAAAATCGGTACAAAATATAGGCTTGCAAGGCTAAAGCTCAGTAGGGTAATGAATGTTGCCAAGTGAGGCCCCTGGAGGCACTGCCTGCCAATTGGTTCCTTGGCAACCACCTGAGGGTATCTGGAACTGAAAGGTGATGCCCTAGAACTTGGGCAGAGGTAGAGCAAGGCCTAGGAGATGCTCTGGCATGGAAGCTCTTATCCTCCATTGGCTGACAGCTCAGAAAACTGGGCTGGTGGTGTGGGTAGAAGACCCCAGACCCCTTCCATGTGAGATGGTAGCTGCTAGCCTTTAGATTGGCTTATCAGTTGTCATGTCATCTTGCTATCAAGCTATTTATAGGAAAAAGGTTTCAAATCATGGTCACACAGGATGCCAGTGAGTTATGTGTCCTGCATATGGGTAAAATCTGGATCTGAGTGACTAAAAAGAAAACAGCTGGGAGGCCTGAGAAATTTTACTGCAGAACCAGGAAAAAGGGACCTCTTTTTTTTATATTTGTGGAAAATATTTCCACCAGGATACATGAATCAATTCTAGGAAGCAGTTCAACATTGGTAATAGTATACAAGAAATACGGCTTCTAAAAGAATACCAATATGAGATTTAAAAAAAAATATGGGTGAGGTATGGAAGGATTACAAGGAAACCAAGAGTTCAGTATTTGAAAAAAAAGAAACACTAGAAAAAATAAAGACTATAATTGACATGAAGGTAAATGGATTCAATGATATTGAAAATAAGCCTGAGAAATTTCTGATATTGCAAAGAGAGAAAAAGAAAAGAATTTAAAACAGTAAGAGAAAGTAAGTACAGAGAAAGCTGGGGGAGGAAGCTGGAGCTGTTTGAACAGAAACATAATTGAATAGAATAATTTATCAAATATCTATTTGTCTAGAGATCTGCTGTACAGCATTATTCCTATATTTAACAATACTGTATTATGTACTTAAAAATTTGTTAAGAAATTAGATCATGGCTTGGCACCTATAGCTCAAGTGGCTAAGGCACCAGTCATATATACCAGAGCTGGCGGGTTCGAATCCAGCCCTGGCCTGTCAAACAACAATGACAACTACAACCAAAAAATATCCGGATGTTGTGATGGGCACCTGTGGTCCCAGCTACTCCGGGAGGCTGAGGCAAGAGAATTGCTTAGGCCAAGGAGTTGGAGGCTGCTGTGAGCTATGATGCCACAGCATTCTACCCAGGGTGCCAGCTTGAGAATCTATCTCCAAAAAAAAAAAAAAAAAGAAAGAAAGAAAAGAAATTAGATTGTGGCCAGGCACAGTGGCTCACGCTTGTGAACCTAGCACTCTGGTAGGCCGAGGCAGGAAGATTGCTTAAGCTCAGGAGTTAGAGACCAGCCTGAGCAAGAGTGAGATCCCATCTCTACTAAAAATAGAAAAAACTACCCAGGTCTTCTGGTGGGCGCCTGTAGTCCCAGCTACTCTGGAGGCTGAGGCAAGATGATTGCTCAACTCTAGGAGTTTGAGGTTGCTGTGAGCTATGATGACACTATGGCACTCTACCCACTCTACCCAGGGTAACAGAGTGAGACTGTGTCTCATAAAAAAAGGTTAGTGGGCAGCGCCTGTGGCTCAAAGGAGTAGGGTGCTAGCTCCATATACCGGAGGTGGCAGGTTCAAACCCAGCCCTGGCCAAAAAAAAAAAGGTTAGTTACTAGTTGGGCAGAGTGGCTCATACCTGTAATCAGAGCATTCTGGGAGGCCCAGGCAGGATGATTGCTTGAGCTCAGGAGTTCCAGAGCAGCCTGAGCAAGAGTGAAACTCCCCCAACCCTATCTCTACTAAAAAATCAGCTGGGTGGTGTGGAGGTAGTTACTCTGGAGGCTGAAGAAGGGGGATTGCTTGAGCCCAGAAGCTTAGGTTGCTGCGAGCTAGGTTGAAGACACCTCACCCTAGCCTCAGTGACAGAGGGAGACTCTGTCCAAAAAAAAGGAAGTTTGATCTTAAGTGTTCTTACCACAATATAAACAATATAAACAAAGTGAATGCAAATTAAGGGAAGAATAATAACCTATTAAAGTTTATTAGATTAGCACATAGTTTAAGAGATTGTAACATCATGACTAAGGAGGATAAGTCATTCTTAGACTTTGTTCATTAGAGCATGATTTGCTGCACACTGGGGAAAATAATCTGGAAATGTGTAGTGAAATTTAAAATATGCATACTTTTGAATCAGCAATACTATTTTGGGGACAGACTCTGTCTTGTAATAAAAAAACACGTGTATCTAAGATAAATGCACAAATGTGTTTTTGCAGTGTTGTTTGTCACAGGAAAAAAACTAGAAAAAATGTATTTGAAGAACACATTTCCTTTCTTTGGAAAAGAAATCTGAGTATGTAATTGTTAAGTGGCAAATAGCTTTTACACAAAATTAATCAAATGATCCATAAATAGCTTTCAGGAAATGATAACTGAAAAAGGAGAGCACATGATATTAGGTATAAAAAAAGATTCAAACCCAACATAGGTAGAAAGTTAATTACAAAAATTATGGGGCTACCACATGCAACTTTCTATTAACATGTATGAAAATTTTAATGAGATGATGATAAAAGTTTTAGGAAGAAAACGAATGATCAAAATGGCTCCAAGAAAAAGTTACAACTTAAATACATCAACAAATGAAAAAAATATTCTACCAAATGGCTCTCAATCGCTACAGTTTTAAGGATATCATCTTTACAATTTTCCAAAAAGGAATAATCATGGCCTCATAAACTGGTCTACAGCATAAAGAGGGGCTAATGCTGTTTGTTCATTTAATATTATAAAGCAAGTGCGGTCCTAAATATTGAAATCTGCCAACGTAGCATGCATGCACACACATGTGCGCACACACAAATTCAGATCAATCTGATACAAATTAATGTAAAAATGATAAGTAAAATACTGGACAATCAAATGCGTCCGTGGAGTTAAAAATAACGCACCACGATTGAGGCTTAGTAACAGGAAGGAAAGGTGTTTAAGAAAACCTAATATCTATTTCCAATAAAATGAAAGTCTTACTAAACTGTACCTAGAGGATAATTTTTTTTTATTGCGAGAAAGAAAATCCATTTTCTTTTCTTTTTTTCTTTTTTTTTTTTTTTGAGACAGAGTCTTACTTTGTCACCCTTGGTAGAGTGCCCTGGTGCCATGGCTCACAGCAACTTCAAACTCTTGGGCTCAAGAGATCTTTTGCCTCAGCCTCCCAAGTAGCTGGGACTACAGGCACCCACCACAACACCTGGCTATTTTTTAGAGACGAGGTCTTGCTCTAGCTCAGCTGGTTTTGAACCTGTGAGCTCAGGGAATCCACCTGCCTCGGCCTCTTAGAGTGCTAGGATTATAGTAGGTTTTTCTATTTTTAGTAGACAGGGGTGTTGCTCTTGCTCAGGTTGGTCTCGAACTCCTGTGCTCAGGTGGTTCACCTGCCTC